TATGAATGTGATTGATTCAATATTTGGATGTTTCCGCTTTTATTCTAAATATTGAGATGTGGGTTACCCATTGTTGCATATCTATTTTGAGCAGGTATCGTATATGTTTAATTTCATGATAATGTGATGCGCCTCTTTTATACCATGTTTTAACTAAACTCTGATGAAATAAATTTTCTAAGTGCCTAATTGATTTATCTATTTTATTTGGGGTATAGAAAGGGGGTGTTACAGTTAGTCCAGTAGGAGCTAGTGACTTATCCCAAACCTAGAGCGGGGTTTGAAAGCTTAGGGAATGGGTTTCTGTATGTTATTCGTCTAGGGAACAGACCCGATTTAAATGTAAAAACCGAAAAATAATAACAAGCGTTGGTACCACATGGCATGAGTTTCATTGAGTCTTGAATTGAGTCTCATTATGTATATGTTTGTGATATGAGATTATGTGTATCTATGTGAATTATTGAATTGATGAAATTGCGGATTGTGCGTATATACTTGTAAGTGGTATGATTACTTGAGTGATACTTTGTTGATGAAACTTTGAAGTGTGAGAATGATTGTGATTGTACTTGTATGCCTTAAAGTTAATTATTATCTTATGATTTCAATAATTATGTGAATTCTCACCCTTTTGTTAGAATGATGTTTTATACGACATCCCTCAGGTACCGAGGAGTAGAGTTGCTCATAGCGAGAGGTAGCCATTGGATTAGCTAATTTAGATTTTTTATTTATGTTGGGTCGAGTCGTGCTCTAGTCATGTAACAGTGGAGAGATTTTGGTTTATCTTTGAGAAATACATTATGTACTCTACTCTATGTTGTTATGTTTATTTGAATTATGTGGAGTATTAGCTTTTATGCCTAAGTATTAATTATGAGTGGGATGAGTATGAAACTTTCATTATGTCTAATATGATTGAAGAAAATCTGTTGCTACATGCTAATGTGAAAGTGTACAAAAAGCATGAATTCATTTTAAGTGTTATTGATCATGACAAGTGTTTGTGTGATGTATTGGAACTATATGTGACACCCTTTTGTGAGATGCATGGTAATTCACTATGATTATTTATATTTAATGTGTGGGGTTTATAAGGGTGTTACGCGTCCCGTCTAGGGGCGATACGTGACACATTCATTCCTATATCATAGTCTTTAGTGCAACGCAAATCTCAAACCAGTCAATTTACTTAATTAAAACTCATAAATAAAATTCAAATTTTTTATCCTTCGGGATTTGTTCTTCAAACTCATTTTCAGAAAAGAGTACGTTACTTTTTTGTTCTACTGCAAACAGGCATCGATCCTAACTGTTGGAATGTAAACTTAGCGTCACTCATAAAAAACACTTAATCAACCTGTGATTTAGTTACCTGAACTACGTTTATTCTGATTTCTCATACCAGATGAGGATATGTAGGCACAAGACGATGAAGTCTTGGCGAGCAACCTTCCCCACATCACCCATAATTTTCCGAACTACGTTGACTCTGACTTTCCCATTGCACGAGGGAAAATGTATGCATAGGGCGGTGATGTCCTAGCGAGTCTCCTTTTTCTTTTCCTTTTCCTGTTTATGTTTAGCAGTAGCTTTTAGATAACTCACCATTTGATTAGACAACAAGCATGGATCCCGTTGAGTATAACGGACGTGAGGCGTGTTAATACCTTTCCCTTGCGTAAACGACTCTCGAACCCAAGATTTGGTTGCGATGACCTTGTCTTCTCATTTCTTTTAGGTTTTTTTTTATTATTTCCTTCCCTCCCTTGGGATAAATAAAGTTCGGCGGCGACTCTTCTGTTTGTTTTTGCCAGTTGTTTTTCACAATTGTGACACCTTTAACAGAAGAAGAATCCTTGTTAAAAATTCAGGTTTGAATCTTCAGCCATATATATATATATATATATATATATATATATATATATATATATATATATATATATATATATATATATATATATATATATATATATATATATATATATATATATATATATATATATATATATATATATATATATATATATATATATATATATATATATATATATATATATATATATATATATATATATATATATATATATATATATATATATATATATATATATATATATATATATATATATATATATATATATATATATATATATATATATATATATATATATATATATATATATATATATATATATATATATATATTTTTCAGAAACTAGCCGTTGAGAAGGTGACTTGATCAAGTGTCTTTAATTTTGTTTCATAGTACAAGAGACATTGAAGATGGATGCATAGTAGATTTCTAAATCTAGTGTGTAACACGTTTAACCTTTGAGTCTTCAAGAGGTTTTATACTAATAGAGCCGTTGGAAGCAGACATCCATAGAACATACCATCTTTTCTTGAGCCTTTCAATTTTGTAGACTCTTTAATTTTGTTTCATAGTACAAGAGACATTGAAGATGGATGCATAGTAGATTTCTAAATCTAGTGTGTAACACGTTTAACCTTTGAGTCTTCAAGAGGTTTTATACTAATAGAGCCGTTGGAAGCAGACATCCATAGAACATACCATCTTTTCTTGAGCCTTTCAATTTTGTAGACTCCAACTGACAGGCTGATAGGACAATACAATATGCTTTCTGTAGTACAGATAGTACACAACTTTATCACCACCTCTGAATGGTACCAGAAACTGATATACAATTACTAAGTGTAGATACTCGTCTGAATATTGAGGCCTTCAGTTCAGAGTCTTCGCCAAACCACACAAGAAATTATTCTTCAGAGTCTGCCACCAAAAGCTAGCTATGAAGCAACTCCAAGTGTATCTTAAGTAAAATAGATTCTGATTATTTATGTACAAGAACCTGCATTAACAAAACACACATTAAATAAACCATTTTTCTTTTAATACTTTTGTTATCATCAAAACTAAAAGAGAATATGTCTAGAACAAATCTTGTTCTAACAAGTTTTACGAATGTCACAAAAATATCGAGTTTAAAAATTGACTCTAGACTAGTTGTGGCTTTGTTAGAGAGATGGAGACTAGAAACACATACGTTTCATTTGCCAACTGGTGAATGCACTATAACATTAGAGGATGTTAGTATGTTACTTGGTCTCCGAGTATATGGAAAAGTTTTTAATGGCCTTACCGATGTAACAAACGATTTTTACATTGAGAATTTAGGGGTACAACCTACAAATTATGATATAAATAGAGGGTCTGTAAAGATTGTTTGGCTAGAGAATTTGTATAAATAGTTAAAAATAAATCTTCCTCAACCCATGAAGATAATATTTTACAAGCTAAACTATATATTTTACTTGTCATTGCTACTTTGTTGTTCCTAGACAAAAGTCATAATCTTTTGCATTCTTCTTGAATATCTTCGTGGGAGATCTAGAAAAATGCAACACATATAGTTGGGGTTCTGCTTGTTTGGCAACATTGTACAAACATATGTGTCAAACCACCTACAACAATGTCAGAAGCATGAGAGGTTGTGTATTACTATTCACTGTTTAGGCATTCACGTGTATGCCATTGCTTGCTCCTGTTACTACAGTGCAGTCATCATTTCCATACGCTTAAAGTTATTCTGAATATATAAATACACTTTATTATCTTCTTATTTAACAATACCTAACATTAATATTTTTTTTGTTATTGCAAGATGGTGCCAACGAGGTATGAGTTACGAAAATAATCCTCGTTTTCATCTACGTGGGTATCGAATCGCACTGGAGCACATGGAAGAAAAAGACGTAAGTTTGAAACCATACGACCTATACGTTTTCTAGACTTCTTACTTATATTCTAACTTTTATACTTTTTGTGATACTTTATATGAGTGTGATAACTTATCTTATTTGTTTCTTTACTATGGACATGCATCAGACAGATAGGGTCAAACTCCAGTTTGAGTTTGAACAACAAATCCCTTCCCAACCAAGGTGTCTACGGGAACACCATGAAATGACGACGAAAAAAGCCCAAAAAGTCCATTGGCAAAAATTGAACAAATATGAGGTGAAAGAATGGAAATAGAGAAGATATTTGGTATTGCAAGGGGACACGGTAGTGGGTGAGCGTAAGCCAAGTCAAGAATATTTGAATTGGTTACATGCAATTCCATTTGTGCATGTTACTCCCGCCCAATTTTTGAACGAACCCCGTCAACATGTCTGCTTTTCAACTCAACCACCTGCCGCACCAATACATCAAGATGTCCCACCAATGTACACATCCCAATATGGGGGATAAGGATCTTCATCTGCACAACAAACATACCATCACACACAGACCACCTAACAACACATCTTCTATGCCACCTCATCCCAACACCAAACTCCCCACACTACATTCCCTCAACCAAAATACTACTACAACCAACAATATCAACACCAATCCACTCATCGACCACCCTTACAGTTTACTCCAATTCCTCAACCAAACTTCGATTATTCAAATCTCAATCTCAACAACAAACATTCAACAGTACATTCTCTCAACCCACCTCTACTTTCGCAACTGATGATGACTATTATCCACCAATTCAACATACTCAACTCGATACCTACACACAACCATCACATTCATTTTTATAAGTATATATATAAAATCTATTATTTATTTTTTTTAATAATTATTTTACTTTGATTTCTGTAAAAAAAATTGTTGCTTTGTTGTGATCTAAGGTGTAGGTAAGGTGTATACAAGAAACAATGTCAAAATAGCAAGCCTGTTTCTTTTAACCATTGCATTTTCCGACCATAAGTAATTTTAACCAATGCATTTCATTCGCTGTGAGTAATCTAACACGTGTCATTCGTTATACCTTACATGTAAAGTAAGCTGTTGAATAAAGGAAAGATTCTCTTGCTATTGATGAAAGTGCAAAACAAAGTCCTATATGTTCACTATAATATATTTAAAAAAATACATATAGAAATAACTCACAGCGGAAAGCAGAAGCAAATGCAATATGGCTTTTGCTTTGAAATTGATAGTACTTGTAATTCTCCTCCTCTTCTCTTATAGTGCTGATAGTTTGAGCAGAGATGACTTCCCTTCCGACTTTGTCTTCGGTGCATCAACCTCTGCTTACCAGGTTTCTGCTTCTCTATCTTTGTTCTTCTTTAATAAAATAATTTTAGAAAAAAAAAATAGATTCTCATTATAATAAAATAGCTACTTTAACTTTTAAGAAATAATATAATAATAATTTGTGAACTCTTATGATGAAAAGGTTGAAGGTGCAGCAAATGAAGATGGTAGGAAGCCAAGCATATGGGATACCTTTTCCCATGCTGGAAATGGTATATTGTCCTTTAGTTTTACTAACATATACTTCATTTAAAATATATAGTAATTCATTTCTTAATACAAGACTTTTTTACTTAATTAATTAATATATACTCTCAGCGAATATGTATAAAGGTGATGGAGATGTTGCATGCGATGGATATCACAAATATAAGGTCCGTGACTATAGAGTATACATAAATTGAAGTTAATTCATTTAAAAATTGCTCTAAGAAAATGCAAATCTTGATTTTCTGCAGGAAGATGTTGAACTCATGGCTAATATGGGTTTAGATGCCTACAGGTTTTCAATATCATGGTCAAGACTTATTCCAGGTAAGTGATTTTAAAGAGATTACTAATTAATTAATTGAAAGAATGTCTAGAGATTATTAATTTTTATTCTAACCATCTTATTACCAGATGGAAAAGGACCAATCAATCTCAAAGGACTTCAATATTACAACAACCTCATAAATGAACTGATAAGCCATGGGATCCAACCACATGTTACACTGCACCATTGGGACTTACCACAAGCACTTGAAGACGAATATGAAGGATGGATTAGTAAAAATATTGTGTATGACTTCACAGCATATGCTGATGTATGCTTCAGAGAATTTGGTGATAGAGTTAAGCATTGGACCACACTGAACGAGGTTAATGTGTTTGCAATGTTTGGCTATGGTATTGGAACAGCACCACCTCAGAGGTGTTCTCCTTTCTCTATAGCTAAATGCTCAAGAGGAAATTCTTCAACTGAGCCTTATTTGGCAGCACATCATATGTTGTTAGCACATGCTTCGGTTGCAAGGTTGTATAACAAGAAATACAAGGTAAAATTTATCTAGAACTTGTCATAATCATATAAAATAATGGTTATGTACGTTATGACCTTAATTATGATATTTTACTATGTTTATGAAAACTATTTTTTTAAGTGCAGGCAGTACAACATGGGTTTATTGGGTTGAATCTTCTTACTATTAACTTTGTTCCACTGACAAATACTAGTGGAGATATTATTGCCACTCAAAGCGCCCGAGACTTTTGGATGGGGTGGTAAGTAATGATTTTGTCTACAACCAATTTATGATATATAACTATCACGTCCCTACAGATAATGTTTTTTTTGGCGTAAACTAGAATCACACATGACACACACATGCATCCAACAAGGACCATTTTTTCACATATGTGTGAACTGAGATCTGGTTGTAAATTCCATCCAAGGTCTTGATTTCCTTACGTTTTGATCTGGTACTAGGGTGCCTACAAGTACTCTGGTAACGGTTTAAAGGATGAGGTTTTAGGATTAAAATAGCGTATACCTTAATGTGATGTTTTCTATTGGTGAGTATCTTAATCATACGATGATTATTACACATCAGTTAAAGAATTCTAATTGTGAGGAAGTTATAAATACTAGTATAAATATAATTACTATCAATTAATGTCATGACTGCTTAATACTATGAATAATTAAATTGGAGAAAATTTCATATATTATGAAGCTGCCAAGGAGATGTGGGATGCAATGAAGAAAACATATTTTGTGATGTAGGCAACGCATTTACAATATTTGAAATCAAAAGATACTTTATCAATTACAACAAGGCGACCACTTAATCATAAAGTATTTTAATACTCTAAGTCATCACTAGAAACAACTAGATGTATATGATGACGTTGAATAGAGTTGCAATGAGGATGAGAAGAAGTACACATACTTGGTGGAGCGAGATAAGTTTACACATTTCTATATGTTTTGAACACAAAATTTGATAATGTTCGTGGGAGAATTTTTGGAACCAAACCTCTTCCAAAATAGTTGAGAGATAGGAATATAAAAATTGCAATAGGATTTATAAAACTTGATGATGTTCGTGGGAGAAAATTAAGCAATGAAAGTTAAAGAGATAGAAATATAAAGATTGCACTAGGATTTATAAAGGTTCAGACTGACCATTTGGTCCACTTCTTTCTCAAGAACTTCTTCTTGAGAGTTTCACTAAAATTATGTCTTGAGATTTTATGGTTATTCCCACAAACCTTATTATAACACTTGAGAGATTTTATACATGGTGATCTCTCATACTCAATGGAGCTTTTGACGACTAATCTCAAGAACCAAACAGATATTTGACCAAGACAATCTGAATAATCAAATAGACATTTTTACCAAAAAAACTCAAGAACCAAAGATATCAAACAAGAGAACTGCACTATTAAGCACGAACACATGTACTACCGAAAACTCTCAGAAGTATTTTGTACTCACGAGGCACTAAAGCAGCACTAGTGAAAGAGATAATAGAAATCTGTATTCTGATGTGATTTGAAATAAAGACAAGCCTCTTTTATATAGGAAAAATACATTTCAAAAAGGAAAATGATTCATGGGCTTGTTAATGCTCATAATCAATTATGCCATAGGGTTAATCAATTTTGTGCTTCAAAATGACGACAACCTTAATCCTCAAAAAGGAAAATCTATAACGGCTAATGTCTTAATCTATTGTTTTATACCATTTGTGAAGCTTTATTCCTTTCTCCAATCAATTGGATGAGAGACTTAATCAATTAGGAGGTGCGTATAAGCGTGCTAAATGTTTAAGAATATCCTTGATTAATTCTATGAGTACATTGATGTTCTTCTAAGGGTTTTAAGATGTTTTTAATCAAATATAGAGGATTCAAAAACATTTTGGCGTGTGAGAGAGATTTTCCTTAATATCCTAGGATATACTCTTATACTTTTACAATACATTGATCACTCTGACACATAACCAGTAGAGCTTTCACACTTCCTTTATTTCACAACCTTGAAGCTTCGAGATCCCTTTCTAGATTTATCAATGACTCAGAACTTCATCTGAGACTTGATTTCTCTTATCTTATGAGACTTTATATGGCTTATTTGATATACCTCATCATTAGAGGTTTCTTGATAAGAGATTCTCAAGGACTCCACCAAACTCAACTTAATATTAGGTGTTATAATCATCAAAACAATCAATATCATCTTCCACCAAGATCATATGCATATAATTGTACCCACAAGTACATGGTTTCATATTCTCCCCCTTTTTTATGATGACAATGCATCTCTCATGGAAGTGGACAAACAAGAATAAAAAAAAAGATAAAAATTTGGAGTGGTTAAACTCTCCCTTACATATATAGAGAGTATATCATACTCCCTTTGAGTGTATACTTCTCTCCCTTTGTCATTATCAAAGTGGCATAAAAGAAGGTATGCATGTGGATCTATGTGCTTGCAAGTATGAAGCTAATATGGGTGTTGTTGAACCAATGATCTTTATATTGTTCAATGTATTGGTGCTTTGATGATGACAACAATGATGCTTATTTAAGTCAGTGGTGATAGCTTTCTAATTCTGTGATGATGTTAATCAACTTAAATATATATCAAGCCTCATCAATTAAAAGATTCAAAGTTTCAGTGAGGTGCTTATATGATCGGTGTATCTAGCAAAGGAACTTGAAGCTTCAGAGTTGTGAAAGAAATGAAGTGTCAAAGCTCACTTGATCGTATCTTTCGTAATGACTGAGTCTTGTAAAAGTAGAATAGTAACTCTTAAGTTACTAAGGAGTCACACGCAGACAAAACCCTTGAGGATTCTTTATTGATTTGATAAAACCACCTTAAAATATTTTAAAGGCCTAGCTAACTAATTGGAAAATTGTCTGATCAATTAGGAGTTGTTTTACAGCTGAATAATCAATTTGACCTAGTGCTATAGTTTATTATTTCACTTTGTAATGTCTATAATCAACTAGAATAAGTTTCTTAATGATTGACAACAACTAGAAATCAAAATATTATGTTTCTGCCTTGAACAATCGATTATTCACTTATAATAATTGATTATGCTAATTGACTATTCCATTAATTCAGCCATTGTGTTGCTTCAATTTTTATCTATATTTTCACCTATATAAATGAGGCTTTCCCTCATTTGAAATCACATAAGAATTTGTATTTCTTCTATCCCATTAAATTTGATCATTTTCCTCTTCTCTCTTTATTATTTTTCTTTCACCAAAAGTTGTCTTAGTGCCTTGTGAGTAAAAACAACTTGTGAGTAAATTTTTATACTGGTGAAGTGCCCTTGTTTGGTTATTTCAAGAGTGTGAATCTCTTGAAAGTTCTTGTTTAGTTTTAGAGATAAACTAGTGAAAATCTATGTTTGGTTCTAGAACTCAACCCAATAAAAGTTCTGTTTGGTTATTGAGGTATGTTCAAGCTTTGGAAAAGTTCTTGTTTGGTTGCGGAGATAAGGTAGTGTAAAATATTTCGATAGGCATAACCTAAAAAAAGCTTAAGTTATTATTAAAACTCTCAAGGAGAGGACTAGGCCAACAGTTGGTCAAACCTCTATAAATCTTGGTGTCATCTCTATAAACTCTCTCTATTTATTTTTTGTCAATTTATTTTCTGCTCTTTACAATTCCTTTCATTTTCTGCTTCTTTTCTTTGTACTATTATTATACTAGAACAACTAGTTGTTTTAAGTAGGAATTTTTTTTAATTAAGGAATTTTTTTAATTAATCACGAATTTTAAATACATAATTCACACCTCTTCTTGTGTTTGGAGTCAGCTTTTCGACAATGCAAGCATATAAATCACTTATAACACATATAGAAAGGGAATAAGAAGAAGGAGAAGAAACATATAATAGATATTAATCCATGCATGATTCTTTTAAGGGTTAAATATGTTTCTGGTCCTCCTAGATATCTCATATTTCACTTTTAGCCCCTCAAAAAGTGGTCCTTCTAAAAATATTCACCCTTAATTTTGGTCCCTCGTGCTAAAATTGTCGCTAATTCACTTGCTAAGTAGTAAATTGTCTCTAATTTTGTCGCTAAGTTGCAGAAGGGACCAAAAGTGTGGATAAAAAAAATTAGGAGGATCATTCTTTAAAGAACTTTTTGAGTGATTAAAAATAAAATATGTGATACTTAGGAGGACCACAAACATATTTAACCCTTGTTTTAATATTCCTAATTTAGTTCTTATGAAAAATAAATTTTTGTTTTAGTATTCCTAATTTGGTTCTTATGAAAAAGAAATTTTCTTTAGAAAGAGGATTAGTAAAAATACTTGCAAGTTAATTAAAGAAAGACACATTCTCAACTATGCAATCCCCTTTTAAGTGGTCCTCAATGAAATGGTTTAATCTTAATGTTTTTAGTCTGAGAGTGAAATACCAGATTTTTCGTGAGGGATATGGCACTAGTGTTTGCATTTTATCGGGACTACTTCAAGATTAACTTTGTAATCACTTAGTTGGTGTTTCCTTCAAATAATTTGTGCACAATAGCTACCTGCAACAACATATTATGTCTTAACTATGGATAATACAACACTTGCTTGTTTCTTTCTATGTGGGAAGATAAGCGAGCTTCCATGCAGGTGACACGTATTTCTGGTACTTTTTCGATCTAATTTGCATCCAGTAAAATTAGATTCAAAGTACCCCCACCAAGTCATAATTTGTTCCCTTGGGATATCATGAAAACAATAGTGGTGTGCTTATGAGATATCATATAATGCATTTTACCGCAATGTGATGTGATACTTTTAGGGTTTCTTGTCAACGGTCATAAAGACACACATCAAACATTATATCATGACGAGATGCATTGAGATAAAGAAGAGAACCAATTATACCTCGGTATCTAATTTCCTTCATTGGCTTTCCTCTTGCGTCTTTATCAAATTTGCATGAAGTGCTCATCAGAATGTATATAACTTTAGCTTTATCCATTCCACACGTCTTGAACAATTCTTTGCAGTACTTTCCTTGATTAATGAATGCACCTTCTTTGGATTGATGAATTTGAAGGCCAAGAAAGTATCGAATCTCCCCTATTATTGACATCTTGACTCATTTTTCATCATCTCATAAAACTCATTGCACAAGAATATATAAGTAGCATCGAGAAGGATGCCATTAATATAAACTTGAACTAATAAGATGATTTGCTTTAATTTTTTTAAAAGAGGATGCCTTGTTTTAGGTCGTACAA